CCTGGCAGGTCTTTGTTGCATCTGACCAGAGTTACTAAAGCCACAGAAAGGTGTATGTATGACTTAAATCCCTCAGGAGTGCTCAAGCCTAAGAAAGCTCCCTCTCCTCCCTTAAAGGTGGGCTTTGTGGCATTGAACAGGACATGCTAAGAATTCACTCACTGTCCTGGCTGTTTGTGCTCTAAGTTGCCTGTTTAGTTTCATCTATGCTCTGCAATGGTTCACCCAAAGCCAGGTGATGGTACATGAAGGAACTACTTGATAATTCAAGAACACTGCCTCCTCCCAGGGCAGAGCTATGTGTTTGCAGTTGTCAACCTCTTATTCTATCAGGATGACTCAGTCTGGGAGCTGTTGATATTCAAGCTGTAGACTGAAAGTCTTGATTTTGTACAAGACCTGCATGATTGACCCTGTAAACACTAGTGCTCTTTAAAACGGTAGAAATATTTTCAGGGTCTCTTATGGATTCCAGTGGGGACACAAAAGTAATGTACTGAAGGCTGAGGTTGCTTAGGAAGAATATAGATCTTGGTCTATTAACATGGTGATGCAACTATACAGATTATTTTTGCAGTGGGTACATTTTCCTTGGTAGGAGATGTGGTATGAGAGGTTAATTCTGTCACTTAACTTTTCTCCTTTCTCCAGCAGCCTTTAGGTGGCTTAAGTGAAGATCAGTGATTCACAGCAGCAGACAATTACTTCACATTTTTCCATAGTAATTAGTTTTTTCTGTGTCAGGGAGTTTACTTTTCTCCTGACATAACTCAGGTTGCTCATGGCCTCAATGTCTGTTGTTCAGAGTAGAAAGATCCCATTAACAGTTGTTTTTTGCATGAAGTAAATCTCCTTGTCCCTCAACCCCAGTGTATGCTTCAGTCATTCCAGATAGAGATACTTGCTAGATATTCTGCGAGGCTAAGGGAAGGGATTCCTAGTGGGAGCATTCTTGCTAGCCATATGTCTAGATGCACAGGTAGTTTTCCCTGTTTTGACTTCTTGTCGGGCTAACACAATAAAAACTGTTCTTTAGCTCATGAACCTCTGACAGTAGTGCTTTTGGGCTCCTGGCTTATAGCCATGGTATCTTAATGTGAAAATGGCTTGGGGAGTTGTTTGGGTCTGCCTGTTTCACTCTTACCAGTGATAAGATAAAAATACTGTGTTTAGGTTGGCACCAGCTAGAAAAATCAGTTCAACTTCTGCAAGTGTACACTAGGAAAAGGATGATCAGTGAAAAAGATTATATGGTTTTAAAATAATGTCATAAGGGGACAGATTTTGTTGAGTGATCCTGTCTGTATTCAGTGGTTGTCTTGGGAAAAAAAAAGGTAAGATATTCATGGTGGTTTGTAAAACATGGAAGAGAAGCATGCCAATGCATTCTTCATCAAGGCTCTGAAAATATTCTGCAGCCAAGGGAAATTATCTTTGGTCCTGCGGTACATGAATTTCTGATCTGGAAGTGTTGCCACCTAGAGGGATTAGTAAGCATTTGACCTCTTTGATCCCTTTGTTTGTGACATGTTCTGCATGTGGAACTACTGCAGCTACATGCCTTTTTTGAAAGTGTGGAATTTAATAGCTTTTTGAAGAAAGGAATAGGTTGTGCCTGATGGACATACTTCATTGTCTTTGGCTCCAAAGTAACAATATCCTGTACATGTTGTGCAGTATCACAGGAAACCCCAAGTCTCTGAAATAACTTTTTTTTCTGTTTTATATTAAAATGCTTCTTTAAGAAATAAAGTGTTTGTTCAAAACCTTCAGGTATGTAAAATAAAACTCACTCCTTGTTTACCAGGAGCAAACATGCCTGCAGAACAAATGTTCAGTGTGATGAACAGTGTATTGAGCAAGTGGAAAAATCAAATCAGAGTAGACAAGCATTAGGGTTGTTCTTCTGCCCAAAAGGAATGGCAGTAAAACCTTTTGCCATAAGTTAATTTGAAACACTGAGACCTACTGAGAATTCTGCAGTTTAAGAAATAGATTCGGTAGTTTCAGAGTAAGAAGCTGGCAGCTGGGAAGTGAGCATGGTGTTTTAATAAAGTGCAGTTTTTGTATTTTATGTGACTATTTCCTGACCTTTAAAAAGTGATCAGAAATATCCTTGGCTTTTGATTTTGAAATACACTGAATGTAATTATAGGGCTCTTGTCTATTGCATTTTTTTCTTGTATGTGTGATGAAAGAACCGTACTTGCGTGAACAACAGGGGAGTAATTAGACTTCCCTTTATTTGCAAAAGCCATAATATTGTACTAGGTGCTGATACAATGTGGACTTAGTGACAATTTGGCCTTAGTAACCTAGTGAGGAAATTATTGTGTAGTTCACAGAGCCATTTTACTGAGATTATCTTAAATCCCTCAGTTCAAAGGTTTAGCTTTTTTGTCTATTTCTGCATGTATTTTGTCTGTGTAATACTCTCCAGTAGCTTAATGGCTGACTTTATACAAAAACTGCTACAGAATTTTCTTTCTTAAAGAAAAATGTGCTTCCCAAATTGTAATTGCTACTGTCTCTGTTATTCACACATGTGAACCTAAAAGAAACCCCCTGAACCTGAAGCATCCAGAGTTCTGCCAAAGTTCATATAACAATTTGGATGAAGTGCTGTGGCTCATAAATTTCTAATTTTTCTCCATTGTTGGCTTCTGTGTTGCTGCTTTAAGTCTGAAAAGCAATTTTGTATTTACTCTGTGCTGAAGCATTCAATAGGAACAATAGGAATAAACTTATTATCATACTGGTAATTTTTTTCATGCCAGGTCTCTTCCTATTATGTGTAACTAAAGAATTTTTCACCTTTCCAGTTGTTCTCTAAGTGTCTTTTGCAGTTTTGGGTTGGTTTCTTGATCTGTAAAGCCAATCTTGCTGGTTACATACTGTTCACTGTTTCATTACAGTGTGAAGTGTCATCCTAGACAAGTAACAAGGCATAGGTATGGTTTCTGAGATCTTGCAGAAGCAGGGCAGCCTATTCTGACATAAAAAGTAAACATCAACTGGTTCCTTTTATCCAAATATTTTCTTTTTTTAAGGGCAAAATGTTTCTTCCTGTAAATTAAGCAAATTTTGGGGAATTTTTCCTACAAATCAGTTGCTCAAACTTCTAAAGAAAAATACTACTTATCCATGTTATTGATATACCCAATAAGAGGAAAACTCAGAACAAGGGTTGACTGGGGAATGATATTTTTTGCTATGCTTGCAGTTGTATTATGTTTGCCAAGTATTTTTTGCTATGCATTTCTCCAGTTAAGCATAAAAACAAATACAACGGTGAAGAGGGAAAATGAAAACAGGGTCTCTCTTGCTCATTTCTGTCAACCTCCTTTACTTTAGTGGATCTTTGAGGTTGAAATGGAATTACCAGAATATTTTTTGCTTTTTTTTTTGTGAAAATGCATAAAATTAATGATCTCTGCATGAGGTGTTCAGGCTTTTGCTCATTTTATAAAACTGCAAATACAGGTATGGGTGGAAAAATATTCTGCAAGCCTCTGTTTTCAATTTCTGCCCTTTCTCTTCCTGCCAATGGTCTCTTACTTTTGTAATTGGAACTAGTGGAAGGCTGAGGGCAGTTATTGCTACCCCTAGGATGGGTTGTTCCATCCTCCAAATGTTGTCTGCTCTGTGCATATGATAGTTGTGGAGATAGGTGGTGGCAAGCCTGGCTCTTCTGGCATGAACCCATCTGTCCAATTGATTTTTGTTGTGTAGCTTTACATTGTAGGTTACTGCTTACTTGGCTGATGCTTAATGTAGTCTTTCTCTGTAATACATGTTAAAAATAGTGGTTAAAAATTGTAAATTTTAAGTCCCTGTGTTAAAAAGAAAAGGGAAGGGGGGAGGGAGAAGCAGTTCTAGGCTAATTTCATCTTAATTTACATCCCAACAATATTCTATTTTGCAATCTTGCAATGTAACAAAAGACTTTTATCTGCTGTTTGTTCCAGCTTAGCTTGCCCACAGAATTTTTGCCTCACTTAATGCTGTGTCAGTGTTCTAGTGCTTTGTAAAGATGCTCTAAGCTGGGGTTTGAAGTCCAGATCCTTCTGAGTGTTGAGGAAATTAGAATCGACCTGAATCCAAACTAGGCCTGTAGATATGATGCATAAGAGTGTCCACTGAACACTTTTCCCTTTGGTACATCTCTAAATATTGAGGCTTATATTTCCTGTGCAATCTTTTTTTTGGTTGAGGCTTTTAATTATGAAAGACTCATGGTTGGAAGAGAGTCTTTTTTTGGTTGCAATCTTTTTTTGGTTGAGGCTTTTAATTATGAAAGACTCATGGTTGGAAGAGAGTCTTTTTTTGGTTGCAATCTTTTTTTGGTTGAGGCTTTTAATTATGAAAGACTCATGGTTGGAAGAGATGCAGTCCTATTGCACATGAAAAACCTAACGTAAGATAAGGTCTTTCTCTGTGATTTGCAATCAGAAGACCTTGCCACAGTGTTACAATTAGAGAATGCTTTGATGCAGACATTGTAAGAAAAAGGATTTGCTATTGACCATCCCTTTCCAACAGCTCTGCAGTGAATGCTGGTGCCAGGTTCTGCACAGGTAAGTTTCAGAAGAAGAGTTTTTATTTTGAATAAAAAGAATAAGGAGAGAGACACAGTGGGACAGCGATCTCCAGACCTTTGCTGTCTCAGGAAATGGCCTGAGAGAGGGATATGTAGCCACCTGAAACTAAAAAGTGCAGCAAGGGGAGACTACCAGGAGATGCACATCGATGGTTTGTGGAGGGAGGTGGGAGGGAGGTGGGAGGCTTCTTTTAAATCAAAGGATAGTACTTGATGCATGCTTACTATGTTAAATGCTATTGCTGTTAGTATAAGCTGTTCTTGTTCTGTCTGTCTTCTCTCTCTTCTGGACTTGGCCGGGCCATGTACAAATCCCAATCATTCAACAGTGCTGGAGAGTAGATAGTATTTACCTCAATAATGGTAGTTTCTTTTCGATTCTTTTTAACCCTCAATTCAGATGACGGTTCGAAGCCAACGCCTACCATGGAAACCCAGCCTATTTTTGATGGAGAAGGTAAGAGCATCCCTTAAAATAACAACAAAAAGCTGCTTCCCTCTCCCTTTTTCCCTGGGATTTATGGCTCAAATGCTTTCTTTATCCTCCAAAGCAGAAAAGCCAGTGAATCTCAAGTTATCCAAATTTCACAGTGCCCTTGGGACCTCAGGCATTTTCCCTAATCCTTTTACATTCTCCCCTCTTCCCTGGAATCCAACAATAACACCATTTGACCAAATTCCTGGGGTAACTTTGGAGGAAAAAGTTTCACAGCAAAAAAAAAAAGTGCATCAAGTGAGAAATGGCAACTTCGTTCCTTTAGACTGTCCTTTACCCACTTACTCTCTCCACCCTCATGGTATCAATGCTGGGAGTTCCATAACCTCTGCACCATGTTACAGTTCCATGAAAGGGAGAGTAGTCCTAAACCACAGCTTGTGAATGTTGACTTAAAATTGCTGAGAGGTTTCTTTATTTAGCAATTACTTTCATTGATGCTTTTACTGTTTAAGCAAACAAAGTCAGTGTCCTGGGCCTACTTAATTCATGGTCCACCAAGGCAGTTTCCTTCTCAAATGGGCTAATCTGCCTGTTTTATTACTTTGAAGGGAGAATATCAGACTTTAGTCTATTGGAAGCTTTAAAATAAGGATAAAGTGGTTGTCATCACAGAGGGTTGAAACCTTTTACACATAAAAAACATAAGTGCCAGTGGGCATAGTAGTTCCCAGAAAACTTATGGGCCTATTAGTAGCTGCTTATATCTTACATATTGCTTAGAAGTAGCGCATGTTTTCTGCAGATTTAAACCCACAGCCATTGTAGTGAAGCTATGGGTTGAAGTCTGAACAACTCTGTGACCCACCTGAGACTGTGGACCATGAGGTAGTGAGGGAAAGCCTATGCATTTTCATACTGAACTTGATACTTCTTAACTGGATCAAAGGCAGAGATGGAGACTACTGAGCAGGAGTAGATGGTGCTGCTGATGCTTCCTGTCTTCCTTAAAAAACAGGTGATGGGGTGGGTTTTTTTGTTGCTAAAACAAGCCTATTTAATGGAAAGCTGCTGTAGTCCTGTCACTTCCATTTAGTGGTTGCAAGTTTGTACAAGTCTTCTTGTAAGCTGTAAGAAACAAAGCAAAGGCCTCAGAACAAAAAGCATTCTCAAAAAAAGGAGACTGAAGCCATGCTGACTCTCTGTTGTTCATATCAAAAGAAAGTTCCTCCTGGCAGAAAGCTGATACTGTATTAAATTGCTGTTTGTAATCACAAACTTTGGGCCTTTAAGTTTTCCCCTGAGAAAGTGCCCATAGTTATTCAAAAGAAGGAAGACACACTAGTAAAATGCAGGAGTGAGCTGATCTGGTTAATGCAGCCTGTTCAAAAACTCCTAGAAGAGAATCAACATTTTGGTCATTCAAATAGAACTGGGCAAAGTTCTTGAGAAGGATGCAGTGAACAGATGTTTTCTGGTCCTTCCACTGACAGGCAGATTCCAACAAAATTCTTATCCTATCTTCTATGAAGAACATTTTCAATAAAAAACCTTCACATTGATTTGTAGGTGAAGCCAAGTCTGATAAATGGGCTTGAACAGTATAATGAAAGATTGCCTCTCACTAATCTTGCAATGTATTATGCAAGACCTTAGCTCCTAGACTTCTTGAGAGAATGACTTATGCAATGGCTTCCAGTTGTGTTAGTAATGTCCCTTATGACAGGGAAGAACATATGACAGGCAGGTTAATCAAGCTATGCACAGATGAATACCCTCTGCTAAGTTTGTCACTCTCTAGTTTTGTCATTTCTGTTAGTAAAATAAGACTAACTAGATTTCAATGGTGGTTGTAGCAATAAGCACAAAGAAATCCATTCTGAGTCTGACCAATAGTTGGTGTAATCTACTACCTTTCAGCATAATGTCTCCAAAAATTATTAAAGTGGGTACATCAGGAAGACTCTAAGAAGCATTTAGCCTGAAGAAGACTTAAAAGATTACCTAGTAGCAGCCTTCCAACAACTACAGGAAGTTTTATCGAAAAGATGGATACAGACTTTTCACAGTAATGTCTCTCAATGATGAGAGACAACCATCATAAATTAAAACAAAATGTTTGGACTGGATATAAGAAAAAACAAAGTCACCATGAGGACAGAGACAGTGGAACAGATAGCCCAGAGAGGTGACATTCTGTCCATTCTTCTTTTTGAGTCACTTGGATAATGCTGTGAGCAATCTGGTTTGTCCTTGTAGCTGACCCTGCCTGGAGCAGAAGTTTGGACTGACACCTCAGGATGTCATCCTGAATAGTCCCTTGATTCTGTCTGAGCAAAAATGTAGCAAATTATACTTCACTAGAATATTCTCCCAGTGTCTCGGGTAGGTCTTCCTGAGGAATGGCTTGTACTTGATGCCTGACACAGATGTTGGATGACAGGAAAAAGCAAAACAGTTATCCATTCACCTCTGAGGTCTCAATGCTTCATAGATGTTCAAAGGAGTTAGTCCAAATCCTGTTCAATTTCAGTGGGTTTAAGATCTGCTGGACTCCTGAAAACCTGTGTATTCTAAGTCAGGCAACCAGGGCAGAACTGAGAGTATGAATGAACAATAAAGATGTGGAATTTCATTTCTTGCCTTGTTTTTGGTGCCTGCCTTCAATCCATAAGGGGTTGACTTTTTTAAAACAGCTTTAAATACACTCAGCTATCCCTGAAATGTGTGATGCCTCTTGGACCTCCATATTTCCAAGATTAAGGTTCATTTTTCTCATATTTTCACCTACATTAGAGGATAATGAAAATTCACATTTCAGGTGTAAGTTCCCCTTCCTCTGCCTACCATCCTCCCTAAGGGCATAACAGAGCAGTGTCAGAGATCATAACTTAAGCTTTGCCATCCAAGGTTTGAATCATAAAGCAACCATCTCTCCTAAAAAAAGCATTTAACTGCATTACAATGCAGATCTCAGCAATGTTTATAGTGCATCTCCTCTTAGGACAAGATTTTCCATTGCAGAAGCATATTTTATTAATGGTCCTTGCTATAGTTTTAAAATAAAGCTTTATTCACTCCTGTACTTCTAGGCTATTTTATTTGCATCCACCTTCTGTTTAATTTTGAGGTACAGGTTGTATTCACTTCCTAAAGAATAACTTCTTTGAAGATCTTCTCTTTTTGGTTAACTTCACCTCTTAACTCAGTGGGAATCTGTTATTTCCTATAGATAGTTCAGAGGAGTATGTGGCCTACCTGTATTAAAAAAAAGTCCAGGTTAACTGGATGGAAAATACATTTTTATGGTAGATCCCAAAGAATTAATTTCATAGAATCATAGAATGGATTGGGTTGGAAGGGACATACAAAGGTCATCTAGTCCAAGTCCCCCACAATAAGCAGGGATGTCCCCTACAATAAGCAGGACATCTCCAACTAGACCAGATTGCTCAGAGCCCCATCAAGCCTGACCTTGAATGTCTCCAGGGATGGGGCCTCCACCACCTCTCTAGGCAGCCCATTGCAGTGATCCACCACCTTCATATTAAATAACATTTTCCTAATGTCTACCCTTTTCTACCTTAAAACCATTATCCCTTGTCCTGTCTTTACATGCTCTTGTGAGCAGTTCTTCCCCAGTCTTCTTGTAGGCCCCTGTCAGATATTGGAAGGTTGCTATAAGGTGCCCCTGGAAGACAAGCTGAGGGAGTTGGGGTTGTTCAGCCTGGAGTAGAGAAGGCTCCAGGGGAACCAAGACTTTGGTTGTCCTTTTTTTTTTCAGCTGTAGACATACCCACTTCATGCAGTGCAGAGTCAGATCTAAATTCTATTCTAGATTTAGGAGTTTGGATCTAGCATTTGGGCTTGTGGACTTTTTCTCCTTTTGTGCTTCTCCCCTTCCTACTTCTCACCCAGTGTTTAATTTTATGTAGTTTTCCCTGAAAACAGCCCAAAGTATGTGTCTGTATATATATATATTTATCAGAGCATGTAGTGAGTAAATGATGATAAAACAGCATATAGAAATCTGCAGATAAGGCCATCTTTGTAACAAAAACTTCTACTATTGCTAGAATATCAATGTTCAATCTATATTTCTATATGTAAAAATAGCCTGAACATGAGTACAGTAATGCATACCGTCAATGTAGCTGGAAACATTTAGAAAGGAAATATTTCATTTTTCTTCCATGCTTTATAATGTATCATCAGTTTCTCCTCTAGTCAGCCAGCTTCTTTCTAGGTGAGCAGAGACATGTAAATGTCAACAGGGGGGGCAGGAAAACTCTTGTAAAAGCTTCTTGAGACAAACTCCAGGATATAGTATTTAAGGTGTGCTCTTGTAGAAACTTAATTTTTTTCAGAAAATATCATTTCTGAAAATGTCCCTTTAGGAGCTCTAGCCCATGGTACTGAGTTCTGCTTTGCTCAGTTCAAATCAAATGCTGATGTGTAATTTCTGTGGTTTAAGGCAGGTCCTGCTGTGTTTTGAAGCTGATTGCAACACCTCACAGCGCATGCTTTAGGCACTTTTTTCCACAAATTTGTTTGGTTGTCTTGGTTGTAATGCATCAGCCATACTTTTCTAACCAGAATTTGTTTCTTTAACAGACTTCCTTTCATGTCTTTCCAGAAATATCTTCATTTCTTTTCCCATTTATTTAAGATTTTATTGTTGCTTGTTTCAGGAAACTGGCTGTGGTCAGCTCTTCTTGGGCTGTTAAAGCAATATTTAAGGTCTGGATTGACTTATTCTGGTTTTCATGTGTACCTTACTGGAAACCACTATGTACTGTAGCACACAATCTTTGAGGTCTCTAAGTCTTGAATAATAGAAAGCCAAGTTGGAAGGAACAAGGATCATCAGGTCCAACCTTCCTAGGTACTACTGTAGTTTATGACATGGCTCAGCACCCTGTCAAGCTGACACTTACAAGTGTCCAGAATGGGGGAATCTAGCACTTCCCAGGGGAAGGGGGAAGAAAGGCTCTAGATTTGAGAATTTAGGAAGTGGGGGTTGTAGGAAAAAAAAAAATTAATTTGCCAGCAGTGAGATTATCTGGAAGGGAAATAAAATGAGAACCTTGTAGAAGATTTACAAATAGTGCTTCATGAGAGACCTCACCAGGGGATAAGCTGATCTCTACAAAGATGATGTATCAGTTAAGAATTAATTGTAGCAAACATCTTGTACTCATGCATAACCACCATGTCTCTTTGGTAGTTGCTGTAGTTTCTTTAAGGTAGGTTTGTTTATCTTTTTCCTCTCTTTCAGAAATCACCGCACCCACCCTTTGGATTAAGCACTTGGTCATTAAAGATTCCAAACTGAACAGTTCCAGTATAAGGAATTCAGGTAACGTTCCATCTAAAACGGACAAAAAATGTCTTGTAACTAGGCCACAGTCCCTCACCCTCTGCTTGTTTCTTCCTTCATTGTAGCTATCTTGCTTTTCAGACCTGAAGTGCAGGCTATAAAATAAATGCAGATAGCATTCTTTTTATGTTCAGAAAGCCAAGCTGATGTGTGATGAGGGATGTTTGTTTCTCCAAACCATAACTGGGGAATTTCTAATTTCTTCATCTGCTAATTCATCCCAGCCAGCTGTCATCATTTTTCTGTTTGCTGTTCAGCAGTCTTTCATAGTTGTACAAAATGATGCATTTGGCTCTGAGATCTGAGCTGTGGTTCAGATCTAAACAGTTGAGAAAATAGAGAGGGGCTTCTTTCCTAGTAACTTCAAGCTTGTTCTCTGTAGGGGTTATTTTTGTATGAGGAATGATTGGATTATTTCACAACTGAAAGGAGGTTCCTTATGTCAGGGCCTCAATAAATGTTGAGATTATTTTTGTGGGTAATAGAGTGGTTGAGGGAAGACCCAAGCATAATAAACAGAAAAGAAAAAGATTGTGAATGTGAGCAGGAAGATGTGAAGATAAGATGTCAAACTTGAGATTGGAGATGAGGATGAAACTGTGGAGTCACTGAAATCACAAGAAAATGGAAGAATATGAAGAAGAATGTTAGGAATTCTTGGTAAGAATAGTTTCTATCTGGTATATTTTAACTGAAACAGGAGAAAGGACGAAGGTAAAGGGAGTACCAAAATAATACAATTGCCTTAAGGAACCATGTGTTTACTGTAAGGTCTAAATAGGAGCTGCTGCTATTGCATATATTTTATGGAACAAATATATTCCCAGAACAGCTGCTGAGAAGAATTCTGGTCCCCAGAACAGATGTGTTGTGATGGCCTGATGTACCATGTCACCTGGTATTTCTGGATCAGGCAGCGAGTATTCATGGTGCTTAACAGTTCCCTTAACATTCCTGTTCCACTTCCCAACTGCAGGGTGAAATCAGTGCTTGGTTAGGCAAGATTCTCTTGCTTCAGGAGGGAGAAGGGCTCTTAGCAGGAGCTAAGAGGTCATTTCCCAGACCTCTGTTTGAGCAGCAGTCTCCTGTGCCTCATCTCATGATTGTTTTTGTAGCAGGGTGGTTCCGTGTAGAAACTGCCAGTGGGAGTCGTTCAGAAGCTTCAGGTGATATAGGAGTATCATAAGAGCTCCTAGATCTGGGTTCTGGGAGACTACAAAGGGACTTGGAAATGCCTGTCTCCCACCCTTTCTTGGCCTGACAGAGCCCAGGAAGGCTGGCTTTCACATTGTAAAGGCAATCAGTTTGTTCAAGGGTTTCCTCAGGAAGCTGCTTGACATGAACTGGAGTTCTGTTCCTGGAAAAGTTCCTTTTCTGAGTTTACTTTTGTTCATCTTTTTCCAGTTTGCTCTGATGTCATTTCTGGTATTCAAACAAGATTATTACGGGTGCATGCTGGAAAATTCAGGAGTTCCATAAGAGGTGGTTTCTACAGCAAACTAAAAGATGTGTGGTTCATCTGACTCAGGCTTACTGATTGCCTTGACAGACACCCATCTGCAGTGGGATCTCATTAAGAGACTGGTTTACTAATTTTTAACCCCAAATTTCCACATGAAGCTATATAAATACACAGCCATCTCTACTTCTTATGTTGAATAATTGACTGTCAAGAAATGCTGCCTCATCAAAATAGGGCTGTGGTTTAGCTTGTTAGTAGGTATGGGCTACTTTAGTTTTTCTTTCAATCAGGGAAGCCTAGTCCCCTTGTTTGGTATCTTTTTCTTTCATCCCTTTTCAGGTATCTTAAAAGGCAGTGCAGGGTAGGTGGAATAGAACAACAAAGAGCTGGGAGGATAGTTAGAATTTAGAATCTAGTTCTTTAAATATCTTCAAGTCTGTCTTGGTTGCAGATGAAACAGCTGTCATGACATGGCCATGCACAATTAGAGGATGTTTTTATTTGCTTTTGATTCTCTGAACTTGCGCTTAGTGTCTTAAAGCAGATACAGCCTGGTATCCTGTTGCAGCAATTTGGAAAAAGTGAAATTGGAGGTGAGAAAACACCTAGTAGGTCACCTAATCCACTGCCTTAGGGCTAGTGAAAGCTTGTGCTGTATGAAGAGCAGCATTTTCTAGTGTAGCATAAATGCCTTAGGCAATAAAGACTTCACTTTTTCCCCACAGGAAGCTGCTCTGCTGTCTGAACTGAATCTCAGGATTTTTCTTTTTGTAATATCCAGCCTACCTCTGCTTTAGTTTCTGTTTTTTCATTAGTGTTGAGTTCTTGAAAGCCTGTCCCATTCCTTGGAGTTTTCATACTGAACCACTTAACCCTGATCTCTCTCCTCCCTCCAGTGGTTATAAAGCCCTGTCATTTGCAGTGAAGTCTAGCAGATACTATCAGAGGACTTTGTGCTGCACTCTTATCAGCTCTGACATTGGACATCTTGGAACCCTAGCACCATTGATGCATTAACCATGAGGAAAACTTAAAGAGTTTGCTGTATGGAGACAAACAGGCTCTGTAATTTGTCATTGTCTCTGGTCAATGTTTGGCTTCAGAGTAAACAAACCACCAGGTAGCTTCAGAGCTGGTGATACACTGAGCTGCTTACACAGCCTCTATCTCATTCAAGCTGCATTTGAAACCTGTGTTCTGCCTTCCTTTTAGAATTGACAAAGAGAGGAGGTTCTCCTGAAGCAGCCCTCTCCTTCTGAGCATTTGCGTTTTGCTTGGCACGTGTAGGTACTAATTAATCTAGGGATCAGGAAAAGCAGAATGGCTCTAGCCTGGTGATTAGAGCACTTGACTGAGAATCTGTGTCTCCAGGCATTTTGCCAGTGGATTTTTCCATACTAAGTCAAACAGCATTGCAAGGAGGGATTGTTAATGCTGTTATCCCAGCTTGCCTTAAAGAATGAAATGATGACTAGATCCCTTTCTCGGTAGGGTAAGATGCAGGTGCAAAGCTTCTTGGCCAGAGGCAGGAACCAAAATATGAACATGCTCTAACATCTGGGCTGCTGAATAGCAGAAAAGTTACTGTTATTCTACAATTAACAAAACTGGCTTCTGTCTTTATGAATCCTAGAAGTCCCAAAGTAAGTTTGGTTTTGTTTTTTCTTTTAGGGGAAAGTGAAAGATGCAGATCAACACAATATTTTGTGGCAAGATGACAAAAAACACTTTTTGATGTTTGTTTTGAATTTGTTTCCATCTTCCTCAAACCTGCACTCCTGTGTGCACACACACGGATACTTCAAACTAAGCCAGTTAGTTAGCACTGCTTTCTGTGATGTGTTGCTTATTTTTAACACCTCCAAAGCACGAGGTGATACAGATGGGACCTTTGCAATGGCCATTCTGTAATCAGCATGGGTGGGAAATGTATTTTCATCCTACATTTACTGTTCCAGCCTCCTACTTTGCTGCCTTTGCCCTGCAACCTATCCCAGCCTGCAGCAGACTAAATTATTCTTTTGCAGGGAAACACTTGACTATCTTGCTTCTAAGAAAATCTAGTTGCTGCTTGTTTGGGAGCACCCCATCTCCACTAAGGAAGGAGTCCATGGTTGTTCCTCATTTCCAGGGCTGGGTGATCTCCAAATCCATTTGTGCTACTTAGTGATTTGGTTTTAGTTAGCGAGAGATTCCAGCCTGTACCCAGCTTACCCTGACAACCTTTAAGAAAACCACAGAGTGATATAATGAGCTCATGCATGGAAAAATAAACAGCTCTAGAGAAACCAGCAGTAGCAGCCTCAAGTAAATATTCTGCAGTCACTGGGGTTTTGAGCATGACGTTATTTGAAAGGAAGAATGAGTAATATATTAAGGCTAGCAGCTGAAGACAGGTTTGTGTATGCAGAGTTAAAATAAAAAAGAAAAAACCCATAGCTGTTTATTTCAGAATCTTGCTTGTTGAATGGAGGCCAACTCCATGTGGCCTATTCTGTTCAGCTCTGGCACCCAAGCATCGTGCAGGCTTCTCATGTGACAGCTTTCCAGTGATGGAGCTTTCTGCTGTCAGGAGCTCATAGTGGACAGAGTGTAACTGTAAATGAGCTTTGAAAACAAGAATGGTGGTATTCATATTTCTTTATTAATTGAATTCAGTTGGAGCCCAAGCTTCAGGGCTTCTCAAAGGGAGGAGAAAAAGCTGCATGTCTGCACGTATTTTTGCAAGAAGCAGAAGCACACCCCACCACCCAGTCCAAAGGGAGTCTGTGTACTCTGGGGTACAGTTTCTACAGTGAGGTGGGATGTGATTATACAAAGTGTGCTACCAGGACCTGGATTCACTGGTTTGTCTGTTTCCCCACTTGTATAAAAAGAGGCAAGAAAACCCACATAGCACCCTGAAATACCTCCTTTCTAGTATTCACCAAGGAAGTGATACCATTTTGCTACATGCCTTTCTTAAGGATCAGGGATAGTGATAGCTCCTAGAGGGAACATACTCATGATGTGTTGCCGTAGCCATATGGAGCCTTTCATGGACCCCAAACCTTAACAAGCAGTTTGTTTTTAAGCCACCTATGCTGGGAGTTGTCAGATTGTCAGGTGAGACCAACAAACATATAACAGGGCTTGCTGATTTGCCCTTAAAAAGGAGTATGGCAGTTTTGCTGGGATACACAAAAAATACCCAAGGTCAGACAAAAGTTTTATTCCCTTTTAGCAGTGAAGGCTAATCCCAAGGAGTTTGAGCGTCTGTGTTATTTTCCAGAGTGGGGAGACAGTGCTCCCATTTGTGTTGTATGTATAGTTATTTGGAGTAGGAGCAAATTTCCTTGTGTCGCAAACACAATGCTTCAGAGACCAGGGAATCACAGATTCAGGGGAGGCTCTTGGAAAGCAAAGCACTGTTTTGAATGGGGGTAGTTTTTCACCTGTCTTTATTCTGTCTTCTCAGGCTTATTTCTTAGTTGTGTTGTCCTGCTCTTGGCACACAGCAATCCCTGCCTTGCTATTT